TGGCATATTTAGTTACGTAGCCTATAGAGCTGGCATATCGATTAATCAAGATTTTTCTTGAGCACTGAATCAGCATATTAGAATATTAGAATGATTTCTGAAGGATAATTTGACACCGGACTTAATACTGATTCCTAGCTGCTGAAAATTAAGCTTTTATACTTGTAAATATACTTGTATACTTGTTATTAAGCTTGTATTCACTGCTGGTCAAAAGTGTTTACACTTAAATGCTTAAAACCATGATTTTAAATACAAAAAAGTTAACAAATGATATGCCAACCACCCAAACGCAAATTCTTTGAAGCATTGCCCTTCTTAAACCTCAAGCTCTCCCAGTAAGAAGAGAGATTCTCTGAATCGGGCTATTATTAGCTCTTTTGCCCTTTCTGCACCCAGGAGTGATGCTGCACACCTGATCTATTTACACCGATGCGGTCTGTCTGTCAGTCTGCCAAACAAATAAAGGGATCTGTCTCCTTTTTCTTTTCTATCAAGGAAAGGATCAGGTAGCAGCCATACGGTATGTAAAAGGAAAAAGCATCATATGTACCTGGCTTTGTATATCCAGGATTAAGTAAAAGTGATTATCAGGATATACTCTCTTGTAGGGAGAGAGCTTCGGCTTGGCACGTTTAAGTTCACATTACCTGTGTTTCCACCTTCGGGTCAGTGCGAGCCAGGGCTTTAAACGGGCCTGCCGGGGTAAAAGCATCAGGGCCCAAAATCTGCTGCGTTTCCAGTAGCCTACTGTCGGGCCAGAAGCTCTGCAGCGCTTCACTCAAACCTGCCCGTAACTCTCCTCTCTGGAACAACGCCACACAAACCCATCATGCACCGACAAATGGAAGTTTTAACAGAAAACTAATCAGAAAGAAATCACTGGAAACAGCGTGATCGCAAAACAAACATGATAAAAGCGACCGTTTGCTGGTATTTTTGTGGTTTACTTGAATATTTGAAACCCAAGCAAACAAGCATCGATGTTTTACCACAGGTTTACAATAAAAAGTGATTGATCATAATTAATCAATTTGTGTCAAAATTGCACATTAGTCACAGTAGCCAGTAAGTGGTTTACCGTCTATTTCACAAAAGAAAGACACACTTACTTATTCGAGACTGTTTCTGTTTATTTGGTAGTTAGGCTACAGCACATATTTACATCACATTTAGAAAGAATGATAATTTCTACAAATATGCCATCAAAAATACGACCCGAGGAGCTCTCTCCCAGTAGGCTAGTTATATTTTCAGTCAGAGAAACAGAGGAAGCTCTCGGAAAAAAAAGTTGCTTTATTTTATGATAGTCCAGTATAAAGCGTAGGCTACTGACAGATCAAATAAAAACATGATTGTGATAACCATTATGATTTGTCTGATTTCTTCAAGCGTTCATATAGACTATGGTAATGGTTAGCGTGCATATCTTTTGCATCGCGTACAAATAGTATTTCTAACTTACGGTGATCAGAATCCACATCAGATCACAAACAGAAGGCATTCAAACATGAAAGTGAGTTTTGAGGTAAATTATTTAAAAGTCTTTAATGCTGACAGAATCATTCCAGACTCAGGTAAACCCCGCCTCTGTTCGTAACCAAATCTGATGCATGCAAACGAAAACAAACAAGTGCGTTCATGTATTTATTGAGTGATCTTGGCTTGGAGCAGAGCAGTGGTGCACGGAGATATCAGGCCTCAGCCTAACAGTAAAGTCTTCAATTTTTGACCCTGATATATTCAAGACAACTTTAATCCATCATCATCACCTTTGAGCCGAAACAGAGTTGTCAGATGTTTACCCCCTCATTCCCAAACAAACTTCTAAAAAGGGTCGTCTGCTGGTCATCGTCAGCCTACACAATCAAGATCTAATGAGCTGAGATTAGGCTTAGTTAGCTTGATATCAGATCTGCTTTACTTAACTTGTATTAGTAACGTTGCAAATAAAGCGTTGGGAGATTAAAGGGCGTTTGTTTGCAAACTGGCCATAAAAATCATTTTAATACGATGACATCACAATATCTCTGTTAGGCTATTAGTTTTCTGTTATAGTATAACAGATAATGAACAGTCAGCCAGTCTCTTTTTAACATGGGCACTTACTAAAGTAAATGAATGTTGAATAAATTACAACAATTTTATTGTTTGCACAACAATGTCATAAGAAAGATGAAAGTCACACAAATTGACCAATCAGAATCCAGTATTCCAGTGAGCATGCAGTGTAATGATATGAAGTAATAATTTGTAGATTTTTACCATAGGGGAGACCGGGGGAGGTTGTAACCTATGGTTGTAACATGGGAAGTGTTGTAACCTCCCCGATCCATCATGGTGATTGTCAAGGCTGGAAACAGGCACATGCAGAATATATATATAAAACAAAAAAAAACTGATTTTGAGGTCAAAAAGTAAAAATTTTGACCAAGACTATATATTTTGTTTAGTATCTGTACAATTGCAGATAAAACTGTATGACTTATATTAGATTAAATAGTCGTTTCTTAGGCAATATGTGATGTATTTCCCCCCTGCTAATTTCACACCACTATGCTAATACAGCTAGCTAAACATTAGCTGACAGGGGTGGGGTGGGGTGGGTTGTAAGACTTATTTAAAAAGTGTTACAACCATCCCCTTACTAAGAATATAACTAAGAATTTTCTTGATTTGAATGTTTTTAAAGAATAACTAGGGCATGGAAAAAAGAAAGACTGACAGAGGTGTCTCTGCCAGTGTTTTATATAAAGTGGTTTGCATGGAGCAATTTAACAACTCAAAGCCAAAGAAGGTTTGGGTGAAATGCGCCCATCAAGCCTGTACAGTTACCAGCATCACTCATCTCTCAGAACTGTGACTCTGATTAAGAATATACACACATAGACACACACTCACACGCACATTGACGTTATTTTTTGTTAGACTTAAAGATGTACAAAGATGTTCTTTAATCTGGTACATTGTAGTAGTGTTTATTAAGTATACCGTTAAGTACGTTTGTTTAGTAGATTAATTTACACACACAGATGTTTTTTTACAAAGATGTTATTTAATTAGGTACATTGTAGTAGCCTAGTGTTATTATTAAGTGTACTGTGAAGTAACTTTGTTCTAGTAGACAAATTTAAACACAGACACACACGAGTCAAACAGACATAGTCTGTTATTGAGAGAGAGAGACATTGTTCTTATATTTCAATAAATCTGTTTTTGAACAATATCATATGGAATGGCATCCATTTTTACTTCTTTTGTCTTTTGTTACAACTTACCCCAGCATGTGTTATAACCTTCACCGGTAGTGGGGTAGGTTGTAACAAAGGAACACCATGTATTTGACATCAACTCACGAGGTCTGTGATATTCTTGTAGAGGGCTGAATTGGTTCCATTTGTAGTAAACAAATGGGTACTTAGTATACAAGTTTGAGAACTCAAGCTAAAAAATTCAGCGAGTTATAAGTGCTGAAGCAAAAAGTGTTACAACCCTCACCCGGTCTCCAGGGAGAATATAACATTCAGAAGTTTGTGGTCGGTACGTTTTTTTCAAACACATCAAACAGTTGATGAACCCCATTGACCTCCATAGTAGGGAAAAAAATACTATGGAAGTCAATGGGGCCCATCAACTGTGGTTATACCGACATTCTTCAAAATATCTTCTTTTGTGTTCAGCAGAAGAAAGAAATTCATACAGGTTTGAAGTAAATTGAGGGTGAAGTAAATTATGACAGATTTTTCATTTTTAAGTGAACTATTCCTTTAATTGTTTTACCTCAAAATGGCATTGTAGGTCACCTTTACAAATGTTTTGCTGCCTTACCGGTATTTACATCCCAAAAAAAAAAGAGGTGTTGTAACAAGTTACATAAGTTACCTTTTTTTTCAAGGTTTTGCCAGGAATTTAGGTCATTGCAAAACTAGTTTTGCAAAACCAGCTACGTAACTTATGTCAATGACACTAAAAAGAGTCATGAAATACTCTACAGCACAATCACTTAGTTCTCTGTTATTAACAAGGAAAAGTAAAAAATCTTTAATTTTTATTTATTTTGCCATTTTCAAAAGAATCAAAACCCATCCATGAACAGGAACTCTGTTAGCCACTTTATTAGTTACACCTTTATTGTACCGGTATGTTCCTCAAATTATGTTGGTTTAATTGAACTTGTAGGGTCATTAAGTACAAATATCCCCTTCCGGACATATCCCCTCCCCTTCCTTAAAGTCGTTTGGTTACTTTTAAAGGCCAAAAAAGAAATCTTTTTTTTTTTTTTTTTTTTTTTTTTCAAAGAATCAGAACCTGGCCTCATGTTCGAGCCTGGGTTCTGATTCTTTGAATAAAAAAAAATAAAGATTTCTTTAAATATATATACACTCTAAAAAATGCTGGGTTGTTTTAACCCAAATTTGGGTCAAATGTGGACAAATCCAAACGTTGGGTTAAAAATGTAATTTAAAATGTTAACTACTAATTACTGGGTTTGTCAATATTTGACCCAAATTTGGGTTGAAATAACCCAGCATTTTTTAGAGTGTGTAAGCTGGCAAATATAAGTCGTTTGGTTACAATTACAAACCTGAATGAAATGGTTCTGAAATGTTCCCTATTGAACAGGCTTCAGGGAACGCGAATCAGAAATGCACACAAGCCGGCATGTGCTGAAGAATTCCGTTTATTTTAGCTTCAGCTCAAGCTCTTGCACAATCCAGCTGCAACCTGAAGAAAAACACATTCGGGGAGCAGAGGTCAACGCTACCGCGCTCTACACAGAGACCTGAAACACTGCTGTTATGTAATGGCTTTTGTCCAATGACAGGGATGCTGGAGACCTAATTTTGGGTCGTTGGGTGGGGTTTTGAATCTAGGGTCCCAGAATCTTGGCCCTATATAAATGCAGCCGCAGCTGAGCGATAGGCATTTCAGATACTGGGATCAAGGTACGCACTTTAGGATGTGTTTGACGGACGGCCGAGCGATGCATTTGTTGGTGTTTTCCTAACTGTTCTACTCATTTCCCACAGCTCGAGCACAGAAGCACCATGCTCAGGTTCTGCATAGCTCTCTGTGTCCTGGCCACATGCTGGGCGCAGGACTGTCTGGTCAGCAACATCACCGTCAAACAGGACTTTGACAGGACGAGGGTAAGTCAACCAGTATTTCCCTTCAATCCACATCTTGTTTTTGAGCTTTTGTTCCTCATACATTTCCACTGACCTTGCAGTATCAAGGAACATGGTATGCCGTGGCCAAGAAAGACCCTGTTGGTCTTTTCCTTCTCGATAATATTGTTGCCAGTTTCAAAGTGGAGGACGATGGAACCATGACAGCCACCGCTATTGGCAGAGTCATCATTCTCAAGTGAGTCTAAGTGGGATTTTATGCTGATGTCGTGCACTTACGCAATAAAAACCATTCAATTCTCGCATGCCGTCTTTGCTCTTCAGCAACTGGGAGATGTGCGCCAACATGTTTGGCACATTTGAAGATACCGAAGACCCCGCCAGGTTCAAGATGAAATACTGGGGAGCCGCTGCATATCTCCAGACTGGACGTAAGTGTAGATTTATCATGTGCTAATCTCATGTTAGGTCATCTGCTCATGACCCGTTTGTGACCGTTTCACAGATGACGACCACTGGATCATTGACACCGACTACGATAACTACGCCATCCACTACTCCTGCAGAGAGCTGGATGAGGACGGAACCTGCCTGGATGGTTATTCCTTCATATTCTCCCGACACCCTGACGGCCTCAGGCCTGAAGACCAGAAGATTGTGACGGAGAAGAAACAGGAGATCTGCTTCCTGGGCAAATACAGACGCGTTACACACTCTGGTAAGATGGTTGAGCCTCGTCACGAATATGCACTCATGATCAGACATTGTTCAGTATATGCAAAAGATCGAAATGGGCTGATGTGTTTTTGCTTTTTTTTAATCGTACAGGTTTCTGTGAGGCTGCCTAAATGACCACTGCTCAAAAGAGCTTCTGAGGATGTAATCTGTTATATATTTCAAGCTGATATGTAAATTATTAAGCATATTACTTAATAAAAGAGAATGGATAATAACTTTGCACAAAGCAAAAGTGAAAATGTGTAATAATGATTTTTAATGCACTATAAGTGCATGGTGTAACTTTTTTTTTTTTTTTAAATAAATGTAAAAAAAAAAAACAAGTATGAATTCATTTTTAATTTAGTGATTGATGCATCACCATAGTTTAGCGAGTCAAAGTCAAAGGTTCTCTTGAACTCATGAACCAACAATACAAACAGCACTGTGGTAAATCAATGCTTTTGTTGACAAAATGTTGTGCAACTTGCACCATGATACAGAGCAGCGGGTGTCACACACACATTATAGGTCAGTATGAGGAAATACATAATAAGAACATGTAATCTGTCAAGTTTTATCTGAGTTATATCAACATATAAGACTATAAAATAAAATAAACTCCTCCCCCCAGTTGATGACATCAGCGGGGGCTAGCCGCCGACACATCGCTGGGCTGATAACACACGTCAGTCAAAGGTTCTGCGAGGAGTCAGTGGACATACAAAACAGAGTGTTAAATATACACACATACAGGGCTTGACATTAACACTAGATTTCAGCAGTGACGTGTCGTGTAACAGTCTCTCCAACTGTCCACTTTGGCCAGTTGACTGAACGCAACGCGCGTCATTTCACCAGATTTGTTAGGCAAATCATTTGTAAGCCGATGTCAACACAGGAGAATACATGGATATGTTTATAAATATGCAAATTGTTGTTCATCGCAGTTTCAAAATAAAAATGTATAACCCTGCTCGGAGTTTGCATGTTTTGATGTCCATCATTTATTGTCCAAGAAATGACAGTGCCTGTAGCATTTCCAAAGCATTTCCTGTGGCCAAATATTAAAGATTAAGTGGACATTTCATTTAAATGTTGATCGACCAATATTAAACAAGTATTTGATTGTGCTGTAAAGTTTAACAATCTTTATTGAGCAAATTATTGCCTCGTTATTTTATGTGTATTTTAAGTCATTTTAAAGTCCCCGTGAACCGGAAGTTGCAAACGACTTTTCTCCAGTGTTGTGACGTATTTCCGAGAGAAACGGAATACTAAATGAGGCAAAATGGTGGGCGTGGCCTTTTTCCCAACTAGCACCTGATTGGATCTAGAAAAGTAGGTGTTTTCATTCAGCCTGTCTACTGTCAGTTGGAGGGGCATGATTACAGATGTTAAGAAGACGCCCAAACCGTGAAACCTACGTCATAAGGCAAGGTCCTCCAACGCAGAGGGGAGGGGAAATTTCAGATTTTGGTTAAAGATTACGAAGCCAAAAAATTTTTTTGTGTGGATTGACTTGCATGGATGAATTGTTCACCACAAAACGATCAATTTAGGCAAACAAAGTAAGTATGGTCAATTTTGATTTCATGGGGACTTTAAAGGCTATTATTCACAAGTCTGGTTTTATTACCACAAATATTCTCCGATTACTCAATTGTCAAAATAATCGACTGATTACCAAAATAATAGTTAGTGACACAGCCCTATATCAGTTATACCATTTCAAAACACACTCAGACGAATAAAAGACTATTAAAAAAAAAGTGTTAAAATATCGTCTCATCTCATTCTCGTGGACCCAATATTGTGTATTGGGTTCCCATAAAAGTAACTTTGGAAAACCACTAGCCAGTTGACTGGTGAGCAAAAAAGTGAATGTCAAGCCCTGTGTATATAGCATATATATATATATATATATATATTGTATGTCCTATGCCTTCATAGATGACCAGGGATCTATTGATTGAATTTAGTTTAGTTTAGACATTAACAATGTCCTGAGTATATGCTTTTTTTCCTCTCTAAATGTATTTATTGTTGTTGCCAGTTATCCTTACTCAAATATATTGCTTAACTGGCAATGAAAAAATGTATGACACTTCCCGGAATCGAAGAGTTAATAAACTCGTTCTCCTGTGGCTACTGTGCCTTCACCTAATCCCACCTTTAAATAGTTTAATGCAGTCTAATTCAAGACAGATTTGGTTTGCAAAGTCAGGACTGATGGATTGGAGTCGTTTCTAGACAAGTAACACTTCAGAGGTGCCATGAGGATACAAGGGAAAACGAGGATACAAGACAAACACAGGGGGGTTTTCTGTCTTTTTTCTTTTATTCAAGTAGAGTTGACAATTCAGTGAAGGACTATGTGAAAAATGTTTTTTTTTTGGGTACAACACTGATTATATGAACAGCATATAAAAGAGCAACCTGGTCACCAAAAGCAAACTAAGAAAATAATATACATTTAAACTCATAAATTAAAATATTTTTAAATATGCCCCATGTAAACATACTTTTAAGAATAAAAGAAAAGTCCCTTCAAACTTTTCACAATCAAGAATTTAAAAATGTGACTACTTTGTTCTTTAAAAAAATATATATATGATGAAACAAGTAAATCTAAAATACTGAAACATTACTTTAGAATGGTGACTTTTATCTGAAGCAGTAGTCGAGGTGTGCGAGCAGCTCTCTGTGCTGGCTGGTGGGGTAAGAAGCGCCACAGTTCGGACACTCCAGCATACTCTCGTCTAGCATGTTATGGACTTTAGATGGAGACGTGGTTCGATCTTGAATAGTCAGTCTTTCAAAATCCATCCTGTTACATGAGCTGGGCTCAGAGAAACGAGACTCTCTCTGCTGTTTCTGAGGCACAAGGTCAATACAAGCATATTATTACATGATAAAAATGTCAATGATCATGTCGGGACGCATCAAGGAGTATCTCAGAACTTACGGAAGACTCCAGGCGTGTAATCTGGTCTCTGGCCTTCCGTAGCTCTTTCAAAACTTTGTGCAGTTGGTGCTGTAAAGTTTGACGGTCTACTTTTTCATTTTCAGATTCTTTGGCTGACAAATGGATCTGTAGGATGGTCAATGACAAATAAGGGTGATAACACCAAAAAAAAAAAACTTCATTAATCTTCCGTAGTTTAAAATCCATGTGCAAAGTGCATGTCTTAGAAATTAATGTTGGCTTCATTTGGTTTAAAAATATGTCATGTGGTGTAACCATTAAAGGCGTAGTAAGCGATTTGTGAGAAACGCTGTTTAAAGTAGATCAGTCCGAGCAGCACAAATCAGCAGTAGGGGGCATATACACTCAAAATACATATCACAAGTCAAAAACATGAGCAAGATTAAAAAAATTAAAAAAAAAAAGATTTTCATGTCATTGACCCAGGAATGAAAGCTAGTGTTGAAGGATGATCTGAATACCTGTTGTTCCAATATAGCGATTCTTTTCTGCTCCTCCTGCTGATTCATCAGGGATTTCTGCAATCGGTTCACCTTTCAAAACAGAAAAAAGAATAGCTCATTTTGTCTAGCAAATACAGGTAATATGTCTGTCAAATAAAATGAGTAGATATATACCAATATAACCAAGGATGCGTTTCCCAAAAGCACTTGAAGCCAAAATGGACAGTATTTGGGAAACGGAGCTGGGCATCGACACAACTTTCCCAATTCGATTCAAAAACTTGCAATTTAAATCAATTCAATATCGATTCATTGAAGTGTTCATTTTTCTAGCCAGCGAGCGAGCGATGAGCTGAATGGCTTTTCAGAGGTAAATGTGACGTTACGTAAAATAACGTTACAAGCAGTTTGATCAACATTTTTCTGTGCTCAATCTCAATGTTTACAGTGTTGGTTCGATTTAAAAAAAAGATTTTAACTTCAATTTATAAAGACCAAGAGCTTTACACCCTTTTATATCCTCTGCTAAGGCATTCCACTGATTAGTAGCTTTCACTGCGAAAGACGATAGTCCAAATGCAGACCGACGAAAGGGAACCAGACAATTACTCATGGATGATAATCTGGTAGATCTCACAGTTTTCTGTTCAATTCACATTACATTTTGCTAACTTTGTGACGCATTAGTATTATAAGAATCAAGAAGATTCTTTTGTTAAACACCCAATCAAATGACATGTTCAGAGGCCTGCTTGAATAAAAGGTCGTAAAGAAATTCCCTCCAAAGGGAACAACTTATTGGCTCACAACCCTCCAGAGGGTGTGAGATCTTCACGCTTTAAAAATCACTGATCACAAGATCACGCCCTTTTAGTTCTTTTCTGAAATCCTGATGTGAAGATGATGCTGAACTGAAGTTTTCCAAGGACCCCCAAGCTTGTGCCCGGATGCGGCCTTGTCCTTCCATTCACCAAAGATCCTCTGACTCACACTGGCTCTCTCTCATCAAGACCACATCAGCAAAGATCAACTGGAGCCTCAACAAATTTCATCAGGACAGTTTAATTCAAATGGGCGAGACATGCAAGTATCAAATTTAGTCTCATTATTTGATACATTAAGTGTCCTTACCACTTTTTAAGAAGGGCGTGTTAGAACTAAACTGATGGTTTGCTCAGGCTGTTGATCTGCTGAACTTCAAACAATGCTAGAACTTCTTGCTTTCCTGTATTCTGCTCCAGCTCTCTTTCCCTTGGGAAACTGTATGCATGTATGTATGTGTATGTTAGAGTAGTTTAAATGTTTAGTCTAGTTAAAGGGATACTCCACCCAAAATTCTGTCATCATTTACTCACCCTCAAGTTGTTGCAAACCTGTATGAGTTTCTTTCTTCTGCTGAACACAAAGGGAGATATTTTGAAGAACGATTGGAAATTTGGCAACATTGACTTCCATAGTATTTTTTTTTTCTACTATGGAAGTCAATGGTGCCCCACAACTGTTTGGTTCCAATCGTTCTTCAAAATATCTTCCTTTGTGTTCAGCAGAAGAAAGAAACTCATACAGGTTTGCAACAACTTGAGGGTGAGTAAATGATGACAGACTTTTCATTTTTGGGTGGAGTATCCCTTTATTAAAGTCTTGTTCATGTCACACGTAAAGTTGTCCGTGTCTCAAGCTCATATACCGTACTCACTGGAGTCCCTAATCATGTAGATTTTGACTACAGGCTCGGAATATTACTGTACAGTAAGAAAGACATTTCCCATACCCCAGAAATGTACATTTCTGAGAATTAATAAACCATTAACACTGAGTGTT